CTTCGCGAGAAGGCAAAAATACATAAAAACTCAAAATATCTATATTAAAAATTACGAAGTAAATCTTAAACACTTATTTCCTCGAAAAAATTTCAGAAAGGATTAAGCATGATTTAATTGGCAATAATAAATGAAGGCGTTATCTTTGTTGTTGCGAAGCTAAGTTTCTCTAGATTGGCAACAAATCCACTAGTCTGCTGTTTCAAATGTAAATAATCAATGGCCGCCATAAAAAAAAAATGCTCAGCGGCACTTAAACAACTTTAAAATTGTTGATAATTCTAAACATATTGAACACAGATTTACTAAAGGCATAAAAATCTTAACTGGAAGATAAAAACAACATAATTCAATCATTTTTAAAGCAAAAAATTTACAATTTACAAACATATAAGAATAAAGAAACTGACATCACTGAGCCGGGTAACAGTGGATATATATATATAAATATTTTAATACGTTTGGTGCGGCCGATTGCAACCAAAATACGAGGTGCACATCTACATGTTATAGCAGTCCTATATACAAAATTTCAACGCTCTTGAGACTACTCGTTTTTGAGTTATGCGAGATAGGTACGTACGCACGTACGTACATACGTTCGTACAGACGCCACGAAAAATTATCTTCAGAATTCATTTTAAAGCAGTTTTATAAATTTTTTGGAGGAAACGAGTCTTTTATTCTGTCCTTACGTACAGATATCACGCAAAAACATCGTTAAATTGCATTAGATAGCGGTCAAAGTGGACATTTTCGCTGAAATATGCTGCCCGAAACTTTTCGCGATTACAATACTTCCTTTTTACTTCGTACAAAGAAGTAAAAACCTGAAAACGTTTTTTACGACTCCAAGCAATAAAACCTTTTACAGATGAAGGTATCCAGAGCAAAACTTTGGGATACTTCCATCAATTTACACGATAAATATAAATAGCATAAGAAATATAAAAGAATATGGCAACACTAACACTTTGATGAAATGATAGCGTCCGTTACACACTGATTCACCTTTTCTAATGTAAGATCAGAACAAATCGTTTTTAAACCTACTCTTCAGAAAAACAAACGGATTGGGGAAAAATTATGTATCAGACCTTTTTCATATTTGTTTACACATAGTTTGTTCGTATATGATGAAAAGTTCTAAGGTACTAAACAAGAAGTAAATCTGAATTATATTTAATTGAGAAGTACTGATATTTGTTTTATTTTTATGCTATTTTTATGAAGGATTATACAAATATAAAAATCAGTTATAGAGCAGTGGATTTCTTCCTTATTCATTTCTAACTTTTATTTTCAGACTCTTCGCATATATAATTTTATACAGTGAAATAAAAACATCATTTTAAGGATTATTATTCCCAGATCTTTGGTAACGCTGTCGTAGAATAACTTTTATTTATTACTTCCTTACACAAAGTAAAGGAAATACTGTAATCGCTAAAAACTACGGGTATCACATTTGAAAGAAATTAGTCATTTTGGCTGCTCTTGAATCTATTTGAATGAAGTTTTGCATTAAATGTGTGCGTACGGACAGAATAAAGGATTATCCTCCCAAACGGATTGTAAAATGTATGTAAAATGTATTAAAAATGATTCAGAAGAGACTTTTCGTGATGACTGTACGTTCGTTTGTATCTCACGGAATAGAAACAGAACGTTGAAATTTTGTATATGGAACTTTTATGACACATAGTAGCGCCCCTACCGTCTTCGTGGCAATTGACCGCGTCAAACGTATATAGATAGATAGATATAAATAAAACTGGACGACTTGGAAAAGCTGCAACGGATTGTCGATGATTCTTTGCGTTGTAATAAATCGAAGATGTTTTACTTAGTAGTTAGAAAGATGATACTCGAAGACAGATAAACCGTAAATTTCACACATTTTATCCGTTGATAATTAAGACTCATATTCCTTTTCATTACTCATTATCATTTTACTCTATGCACCCTGCAATTTTACACAGACTGTGTTTTTAAAACAATGGATAAAAAGCTAACAGCGGCTAAGCGAGTGAACTAGTGTCTTCGACGATGTGGATAGCGATATGGATTGATATAGGAATGACGCAGTCCAGAAGAGTCATTACTGATTTTAGAAACAGACATGCGAAATTAGGAGGCTGTTACTAGTTTAAGTTATAATTATATATATATATTACCCGTCCTGATACCCGGCTGAGTAAACTCAGTACTTTTATTATCATATATTGGTAAAATATGCATTTTTTACTTTAAAAGGGGGGTTGAATTATATTGTTCTCTTGTTCCGTTAAGGTTTTTGTGCCTTCCGTTAATCTGCATGCAACAGTTGTAGAATTAATAACAGTTTGAAAGTTTCGGTGACACTATTTCTAACGAGGCCAACATTTGTTCACACTTCAAACTTTTAGCAGAATGGTGAATTTAGTCAGTTGGCGCAACAGCTTCAGTGTGTTTTGTACAATGGGACCAAAAGTTAAATTTCCATTTTGTAGACCAAAAATTTGGTCTTCCTAACCATTGGCCAAACGGATTGTTTAGGCGTACAAAGTGCAATTTTAATTGTAAAAAAATCAAGTGTTTTTAACTGTACTTTTTGTTTTAGGTGCTCCTGCATTTCACAGTTTTTAACAAAGATATTTCGAGATTTTATGTATTTTTGCTTTGCCGCGAAACGAGAATTAAATTGACTGAATGAGAAATATTTATCGAATGAAGAAGTTTAAATGAAGTGCAGTAAAAAATGCGAATAATCTAATATGCTGTACAAGGAAGTCATCTGATGTCCACATCAGACTTTATAGACATTTTGATAGAAGGTTATTCTAACTATATATTTTTCAGTTAGTGTTGTTTTAATCGTCTGCATCTTTTCGTAAATTTTCGCTATATTTTTTAGTTTGCAGTAATTTCGTTATGTATTGTAATTGTCTTATTTCTTAAGTGCAGCCAATTTTTATTTCTCTTCTTCGAGATTGTTCCTTACGAAATAATCAGAAACATAAATGCCAGCCAATAAGACAATCATGTGTGAGAAATAATGTCACTCGTTGATGTCAGCTAATAAGGCAATCGCGGTGATATATGCAATGAGAAAAGAAAATGAAAATTTACAGAAGTACAGAAAACAAATGTAAGAAGAATGTTTAAGACATAAGTGATTACAAAATTGACAGAGTATATGCTGTATGCTTGCATAATATTTAATAAAGCTGAATGTTAAATTGTAAATCTCGTTCTCAGTTTAAATATCCGTAATTCGCTATTATGAAGGATTTTTTAAGTCAGTGTAACTATTTAACATTCCTCATCTCTTTTACAGATTTGTACATAGCGAAATCAATTCATTTGTTTAATGTCAAATTAGATATCAGTAGTCTCACATGCTGCTTATTTAATACCTCTTAAAACATTTTCGCAATGCGCCACGTGACAGAGTAGCTTGTTAATGTACACATGCAGTATTTTCATATTGAATTTCGTGTATCAAACAAAATTTTAATAATTCCAAACACTTAAACAATAAAATGGGAGAAACATTATTTTCCCATAAAAGTTTTGTTTATATTCTGAACAGGTTGGAAAAATAAAATTGCTCGTTTTCTAATACACTACACTTATTTTCATTGAAGTATTTATGTGGTATATGACATACCACATTCATGTGTAAAACAATGAAAATGACTTATAAATCTATATTCATATTTTAGTCTTGCTTGGATAAGCTAATTATCATAAATTTTGCTCTAAGTTTGTAAAGCCTATCTAAACATTTGCTCATATATTGTTTTATGAAAGAATTCCTAGAATTATTGTTTGCTTAACTAAAATATATATTATAAAATGTCAACTGACGTTTCCTTTTTTATACGTTTCAAGACAACGTAAAACACATTTACACAGGAACAACTTAAAAAATACAGGTTTCTACCATTGTTCATTTATTATAAAATAAATGACAAACTAATAATCCTACCACAATTACAGTTTCAAAAGCTAAAAAGCATGTAAGTACTTACATAAAGAATAAACTTAAAAAGTTACGATGAAGAAATTTTAAAAATCACACGCTGAAGAAGTATGAATAGGAGCAAACAGTTTTGGGAACATACTCACTCTCCCACTGTTATTTCTTCTTTTATATGCAGAATTAAAAGGATGAGTAAGTTTTGGCAAATTAAAGAATGCAATATTTCGTTGCAGCAACAACAGACGGAAACACCAGTAAGCAGCAAAAGCAACTTCCATAATTTTCAACGCCATAAATTTTTATTGGATATGTATTTCACGCACGTACAAATATAACACGATTTTTTTCGCTTCAGTAAATCTTAACCAAAGCTATTTAATCACCGCCGCCAATTAAACCGGACGGCAAAAAGTGAGAAGAAAAAAATCCCGACGATAATTTTACTTTTCTTGTTTTGCTGCTCTTGCGTAAAATATCACGTGGCGGAACAGAGGGTGGGGGGGGAGGTAGAAATGCGATTGCATTGTTGCAAGTTCGCTGGAATGAAACATTTTAAAGAACAATTATTTTGTTATTTGATCATTGTGTAATTAAAATACGCTCGAGCATTGCAAATTTATCATTCCAACATTTAAAACTAATATCTTTTAAAAACAACTTTATTGTGTTTCTTGTATGTTTGCCCGTGTGTTTTGCATTAAGCTAATCTCTTATTTATAAAGGTTAAACAATTTTGTTTTTTAATCTTCTGCATGTGGAGAGTTTAATTCATTTATTCTGATCATTGCTTAACAATAAACCTCATTAACAAGAAAATATTTTAAATTAAATTTCTCTTACAAATAACAATAATAATCATTTTTTGTAGTAATATTTTTAAATGCCAGATTAACAGACCTTGCAACTTCTAGCATTTTAACTTCTTTTTGTTAAAACGGATAGAAAATATAGCAGTACTACAACGCTCGTTTCTGAATCAATGCAGTTATACAAAATTTCTATATTTTATACACCTGGTACTTTATTTATTTTCAGAAATATTTTTTTCTCAAATAATTAGAACAGACAGCAGCAAAGAAAGCTTTAGAAAGCAATGATTATGAATTAGGAAAACTTTTATCAATGCTACCAGGTATGATTCAGTTTGTTTACTTTTACGACTCGTAAATTATGAACTATTAGATCACCAATGCATTTTTTTCATTTATAATAATTTCAATTAAGAGGATAGCAAGTCTCTGGAGGTTAAGTAATGACAGAATTAGAAATTTTGTTTCTACCTGTTTAAACGGAAGGCCAGGCAATAAATTATTATCGGAAAAAGTAAAAATGATATCATGAATCTAAATATTACATGAAACTTTACAAACATATCCATAAGATTATATTTCTAATATAATAATTAAATGCTATAGAGGAAGAAAAGATTATAATTTATAAGTGTTAGTTAATTGTATATCTTATAAATAATTATTAAAAGCGTAAAAAATGAAAAATATGCTTTCGTTTCTTAAGATTACGATTATTTCTTAAGATTTTTTTCTTAAGGTAAGCATACCCTTTTTCATTTTGAGATGAGCCAGGAAACAGGAGACAATAGAACTTTGGCCCTAGAAGCGTGAATGAGTCGAATGTCAATGAAATTTAAGTTTCTTACTTTAAACAGAATTCTTTAAGAAACCTTACTTTCTTTGCATAATAGGAAAAAGAAACAATTAAAGTAGCAAAAAAAAAAACCACGTATGGATCGAAATATGTACTCACGTATTAACATAACCGTCTCGATGCAGTTTGGCAATTTTTTTGCAAATGAAAAATAATAATGATTATAAAATCATTGATTGCAGTTTCAAAAATTTATTTATTACTAAAATTTATTTATTACGTATACATTTTATAGTCTAATCAAGTATTAATAATGAAAATCAATCACTAAATCTAAATACAAGCTGGTTTTTATTTCTCTTGCTCTGGTGGAAGCTTTGAAGCAGTTATGCCATAGAGATTTTTTGAAAAGATACTTTATACCAGCCGAAATTTTTCCACAGTTTCTTTGATTGCTGACAATTTCCGGCAGCACATTATTTAAAATCGAGTTTCAGATAAAACATCACGATTTGTGAATAAAAATCATTAGAAGACTTCAACAAGAAAAAGGGGACGTTGCTCGAATGAAAGATTGTTATGATCGCAGATTAGGCAACCATGCGGAGTTACGACCCGTTAACTGCGCATGGTTGCCTAATTTTGGCAAATTAAAAAAATTTGGCGACTTCTAATAAAGTGTTTGCGATAATATGTAAGTACCGTAAAATAGAGAATTCCATTTCTAAATCAAAAATGTTTTTAAAAAATTCGAACTCCTTCTAGTAGCATTTGTTCTAAATTCTTAGAAATATATTAGTCTCTTTTTCGGTCACAGAGAAAATGTTTCTGTGCACTATTTGCTTATACTTCCATAATTATATTTTATATTTAGATTTACGTTGATTACGCAAATCGTGTTTTTTATTTATAAAATGAATTCTTTTTAACTAAATTAATACTTCTGTTAAAACTTAAGTCAACTTGAAAAAGGCTAATGTAACAAAACTTTTAAAAATACTTTTATTGATATTTTTAAAGTTTGTGTATATGCAAATTATAATTTCTTTATAAATTTGAGTTAAGAAAATAGTGTATATTCATTTCTTTTTAAATTTCATGTGCATAATTTGTTTTAAAGTAGAAAATCATAGCTCAGTTTTAAACAGACAAGTTTTTAAAATTTGACATTTCTAGATTTTGTTTTTATTCATTAAATATATTTTTCAAATATATTTTGCATATACGTCACATATATAGTATAAGGACATAACTATTTTCTCAATTAAGCTTAGAGAAGTAATAGCTCTCAGAAGCAAGCTTAAAGAAAACGAATAAATAAATTTTATCACAGCGAAACCTCTCACGGCAACCACCTCCTTAAAATTATTAGTTTAAAAGATACTATTATTTCTAAGAACATAATTAAATTCCAATCCTGAAACGTGTTCTATTGTCAGGTTCGCTAAAGCAATGAGCTCTATAGAATCACCAAACATATCTGATTATTATATCTGAAAATAGTTCTCATTTTATAAATATATAATTCTATCCCAGGAGAATAGGAAATTTATGAACGAGAACGTTTTACATCAAAAAGCCTAGTTTTCGGATGATAATGTTTATTTTCTTTTTTTACACACACATAAAAGCTGGCAATTTGGAAAAACAATAAAATTGTTATATTTTCCTTTTGAAACTATTTTTAGCTTTTATCAATAAATGAGAAAAGTTTTATTCCGCTTCACTGTATTCTTTAAATCTAAAAATAAATATTATCATTTCATATTACTTATTTTTACAGCAATGAAAAATCGAAGTGATAAAAATGAAGCCATTTCCACTTGATTTGCAGAATTGCTAAACATGAGAAAATTATTACAGAATGTCACACCTTCGTGGATTTACTTCTGCTCTTTAAAATGATGATATAACTGAAAATATCCTTTCCCTATTTCTGTTACATGTAATTTTATACTGCATTTAAACTACGCTGTACAACTTAAATAAAATTTTGAAGCGTCATTTCCAAATGAATTATGGGCCCACCAGCGGCCGAGCGGTAAATTCGCTGAACACTGGTAGTTCGGTCCGAGGTTCGAATCCCGCGAATGGGCTGGCTGCATAGGCGTTTTCGTGGTTTTCCCATATGTAACGTGTATACGAGCCAGTTTCCCTTAGAAAGTCCTCGACGAAGGCATCCCTCCCCGTAGGCAGATAGCCCTAGTGTGCTCTACCGTAATTAAATAAGCCAAATGAAATGAATTCTTTTAACATAGTTTACTTCAATTTCATGCTATATAAAGTTTTAATCATATGTGTCGAATTTTCCAGTGATCGTATACGTCACCTTTAGCAATCGGTCTAAACGCTTGTTCCTTAATATAAATTAATCCTTATAACTCGTGTTCATGAAATACAAGGAAAGTTTCCAAGTGTTATCGTTGTTCAAAATACATAGTTTTTACAGTTTTCTTCGCAATCTTTCTTCGCAAGATACGACACAAAAATATCACACATCTGTATTTCTTTAAAAAATACGCGTTACATTTAGCTTAGTAAATCCAGAATCAAACTTACGAAAAATGAATGGTATGATCAAAATGTTGTGCTTTCTCAGAACAGTTTCTATTTTAGGGCAGGGGAAATTTCGCCCTATCAGGAAATATCTTTTTTTTCAGTACAGACAAAAATATTTAGCAATGGCACTTTAGGCCGATAGAGACCTAATCTATCGACCTTACTCGTAACTGCAAAGAAGCCATTTTATACTGTTTATATTAGACCTTTTAAAGGCTGAATTTTTAGATCTTAGAGTGTCAGCGAAGTTTCATATGCTTTATCTAAAAGTACTCAGCCATTGGTGATTTAATTTGCAGTCTCCAATATAAAGCATTTTAAAAAAATCCTATTTTAAATCTTTAGAAAATCTTGAATCTGTAGAAACTCTTTAGAAATTCTACTTCAAACGTTATACTTCACATAAAAATACGCGTTAAAGTTTATGTACATTAATCGATGTCTGCAGTTTGTACTGGAACATGAGGATATTTTTTTTTATTTTTAGGGAGCAGACTTTTCTCTTTCCAGTAAACAAGTAATTTGCCAATGTACAAATTTCAGTGAAAACTGCGAAAACGTATTTTCTCTCTTTATAATAAATCTGTCTAGAAGTTGATTTATACATTTTCAGAATTTTAAAGCAGTTTTGTGACACGAAATACTTCCTATAACTCGTTATACTTACCCAAAATTTATGATTATCAATACAATATTAATTTTAAAAAATCCAATTTTAATTTATCTTAATTAAGAACATGATAATAATGCGTATAAAAACTCCATTTTAATTAATTATGAGAATTAAGAATACCCTTTGATCTACGTTTTAATCAATATTATATTTTGTATATTTGTTTAATGTTGTATACAAGAATTCACCATGTCAAGCGTAACATTAAATAGAACTTAAAACACTGTGCACTATACATTTAATGCATGCAAATTCCCATTATTGCCTGAAATCGCTGAGAACGTATTTATTTATATTCTTAAAATACAACAAAGGAATAAAGAAATAAAACGTTTTTCTAACAATTTATTTATAAAAACGTTAATTAGTCCCTTTCCGAAGATGCATTTACGTACACTTCTCTCCTTAAATTGTTTTAGTACACTTTAAGAAGTTTTTAATTAATCTTAAGTTTAAAGTATTCACGTCATAAAGTGTATAAAAGTTTTATTTGCTATCTATCTCGTCAAGTGCTCCTCATTTCCAGCTGATGCAAATAAAGTTCACTTGCTGACAAGGAACTCTAATTATAACACCGTTCGTCACAGTTTGATGCTTAAAATTCACTTCCGGCGATCAGAAGCACAAGCTTAATTACTAAGAGCGCATGTCGAGTGAAAAATGACATGTTTTTGGTTGGAGTGACACTAATTACACGTGTTTTGGTGTCCTTTGCAGTCCCTCCTTTTCATAACACGGAAAGGCGGGAAATATTTCCACAAACAATTTCTTCCGTGAAATGAGGATTAAATATTTGTTTTATGTGAAGAACTCCGTATCAGCGTGTTTGAGCACCTCTCCAGGCTTAATATATGCAAGCACTTTCATGAAGGTAGGTATTCTGCATAAAGCAATAGCTGCAACAGTTTGTTATATTATTTAACGACAGAATGTGTGTTATTTATGTTTTGTTGTTGTTCTATTCTATTATGCATATTTGCTGTTGAAAATATATAAGTTTACTGACATTAAACTGCATCAAAAGCGAGAAATGCTATTCTTGCAATTGAACATTTACTTGTTTTACATTTAATATAAAAGGAATGCAATCAAAATAATTCACTGGGTTTGGAATGTGCGAAGAATTTCGGTTATTTGTTGTCAATCAGAAAACTTATATTCAGTACAAAAATGACTTAATATGCAGTAATAAGATAACCTGATATTAGAGGTTAAAAGTAAGACATTTGGTAACTCCATATTGATTTTAATTATGAATCTTAACGTATTTAGATGCTCATATTTTCCATTTAATTTTGTCATCACAAAGTGTAAGATCACGATATTAATGCATTTAGGTGGCCACTCTATTTTTTGCGTTATTTTACTGTGCATTCTTGATTTAAACCTTTTACAAGACACTACATCCTTTCATTTTCATACATTTTAAATCTAAATATGATATACATTTGCTGAATCATATAAAATTCTAAAATGGTATATATTAAGCTATTTTATAAACAATTAAGTATTTTTACAAATTTTATATTGTAAATAATTACGTACCATTTAATATCTCATAGCGCTAGCAAGTAGAAAGTGAACATTTTTAAAAGAATCTTTTCCAGAGATTAAATTTAAATGTTTCAGTAAGAAGTCATACAATTCACTAAATCCTTTAAGGTATGTTTGCGCTTCTAATGAAGTTATTTACCGAAAAAAAGAAATATTACAAATAATATTATTCTTATGCTATAAAGCATGAAATAAATGATGTGTGTAATAGCTGTTTGCATGCATAAAATCATCAAAATCATTAAAATTATACATTGTGAAATATCAATAAATGTTAGAGCACTGCATCAATAAATGTTAGAAACACTGTTGTCTGTCATACTGTAACTATCTCATACTACTCGAACACTCTGCTGCAGAATTTTTTGGATAACATAAAAGCATTAATTGCGAATCAACGAGAAGACAGTTGTTTTTAATTTTTCACGAATAGTGCTATAAAATACTTTAAATACTTTCTGAATTGACTTCTGAAGTTCATCTTTGAACTACAGACTATTAAAATGTGTTGATGTTTTAAAAATTAATCATGAAGCGAAATTAATTATGTCATTAATACTAAGAAAAACGAATATGCGATATTATACTAATAATGAATTATTCAGTGTATTACCAGAAACTCACATCAGAAAAGGTTATGGAGGAAGAACATATGTATACTTAAAGAACTGCAAGGTAAATACAAAAATATGATATATATGAAAATATAATGTATGACACTGAAAATGTAATGCATTACGTATGTGAAAATGTCCTATTGTGTATCCTATTGTAAACAACATCAAATGAAGCATAGTGCACTTAAAAGAGTATTGTTTCGAATTCATTGGTCAGTTCGGAGTTATAATCTTATTCATATATATTCATTTTGCCCCTGTTGCTATTTTTATGTATCATGTATATATTTCCTTTCTATTTATTTTCAGAGGTTATGACTCTCTTTACATTCAAGATGTCAAGTCTATCTCTTATACCTTCAATCACATAGGAAGAGAATATATAAATTACAGATACAGAGATATGGACTACGACGCTACAGTTCCCGCATCTACGAAGACATAAATTAAGAATAAACTTGAATAATAATATTGTAAGGATTATTTTAGCTTTATTAACAGTTAAATTTTGAATTAAACTTCCTGTCCTATCGCTTCTTAATTTCAACTTACAACTTCCTGCCAGAACGTAGTTTTAGAATCACGTCTGAAGGCTTATGAGGAAAAACGGTATTTAACCGCGTAGTTCTACTGTCTTAGTGAGAGAGATAACAGATATTCTGGCTGCATGCGTCCGCGGTTTTAAGCTACTCTTACGTAAGTTATTATTACTTTGGCCCATACTTTAGACCTTTGATAGCTTCGCAGTCAATTAGCGTTAAGGGACAAACTCTGTTAGAATTTTGTTAACTTAGTCTCTGTTAGAACTTAGTCTCTAAGTTGAAGCCCAAGTGTCGGCTTTATTGTACAACTCCAAGACGGAGTTCTGTTAAATCTTATTTGAATAATAAAGAGTCTTTTAACTCTTTCCAATTTTATATATTTTCTCAAGCGAAATCAAGCGATTATTGGCTTACTAGTTCTTAAGATTCTTCACTTTTAATTGTAACTTAGAATTATACAGTGGGGAATCCTACAATATAAAGAGCTCAGCTTCAATGAAATGGGTCATGAACAGCTTACTAGTCTCTTCCAGACAACTAACGGTGTGGCAGAGCAGTATCTCAGTGAGGCTGCCTGTACGACAGTATCTCACATTAGTCATGCAATCCTTTCGGTACAAAATTTGTACCGAAAGGAGTGCATGACTAATGTGAGAGCTGCTAGAAATATGCACGGTATATAGAACAACATCAAATCATGCCCTGCAGAAACTGTTAACATTACCGCCATTAGACCTGGCAGCAAAAAGAGAGGCAATGGCTGTCAGTCACCAGAGGGTGACAAACATATACACTCTAGACAATGTGTACACTATTGAATTACCGATTGCAAATGAAATATAGCTGAGATGGTTCAAAAACAGAATCGGAAATCGGATGAACTTTCTAATGATTTGACTAGCTACCTCTTTTACCTGGAAGAGAATGCTCGGACAAAACAACTCTGGCTTTAGAGAAGAATTTCGCGCTATAAATGCGGCATAAAATGCATTCGAAAATGCACAGTCACAGAGAGGCATAATTTCCAGAAATTCTGCTTCCTGCTGAGAAGCTATAATGAGGAAAATAGCTGAAATCACTGGTATTGCAAATACAGAAAGAGATTCTAGAATTTCATCTCTATGGGTCCCTGCGCATCGAAACATCGCTGGGAATGAGACAGCTGATTTGCTTCCTAAAGGCGCTGCAAACAGCAGATATATACTTGAAAGATCAAAATGTATCGCAAGATCGCACATTGAAAGAGATACGTTAAGTAATTTACTGCATAAATGGCAAGCGAAATGGACAGAGGTGCAGCAGAAGATATATCGTCTTTAACCAAAGGTAAATTTGGTCATTAAATCTTACAGTACAAGCCTCATCAAGTGCCTGACGCGTCACGGCCTGTTCCAATCCTATATGCATCGTTTCCAAAACCGAGAGCCTCTTCTTTCTGATTGCGGCCAAGAAGGAGTTGTTGATCACTTCAATTTTAATTACTTGAACGCCAGCACCCGGAATTTGAAAAAGCCAGCAAGTAACGTTTGACCCATCGCCACGCTGTTGGAGAAAAGGAGAAAAAAAAGAACAGTATAGACAATGAATTAATTGCGCAACAAAGTGGGATTTCAACGAATTGAGGAAGTCTTACAATAGTGTCCGAAAAGCAACAGCTCTAAAAGACTTCGTACACATGTAGAATGGCAGAAATCAGATGCTACTGCAAGAGGTGAACAAAATGTTCAGAATGAATATTATATATGTATATGCCGTGTGTGTATATTTATGTATGTATATACTATGTATGTATATACTCCTTTGGGTTATTTGAAACATCGTATATACATACTCGTTTTGTATTATTCTCTTAGACAGACATAGAGTTATTATCACAAGGTAAAAAATCCACCTGCTGTGTGAAAATAATCTTTTTTTGCCACTGTATATTGCTTTTTGAAACAATAAATGTAGCCTCCAACACTGGGATGGAACAATTCTGTTACTTCTGTGACCGAAAGCCATCTTAGTGACGCTTTAGATCCGGCCATCGCTGCATCATGTTCCAACATGATGGAGGCTCAGTCCATTTCGGTCATGACGTAGGAAGCACTTAAATGGGACATTTAGACAACAGACGTTCGGGCATGGAATCCTATTCACTATTGGCCTGCATGGACGCTGGAGCTCGGGGTATTTTTCTGGGATTGCATAAAAGGTCTCTTGTACAATGCAGTCGCAGGTAGTGAGGAGGATCTGGTTGCATGAATCTGCGCAGCTGCGTCGTTTGTCTGAGAGACGCCTGAACTATTTCATAATGTTAGTGATCCAGTGTAGTACCGAAGTCAGGCTTGTGCTGCAGTTCTTCCCGAAACATTAAACCTCTGCTTTGATGTCTTTTTATATCTTAATTATTACATTTCGATGAACAAAATGTAGTCTTTACTAATGTGTTACTATTCCATTTCTTGTGTTCTCGATTTTGGTTTCATGTTCACACTTCAACATAACCGTAGGGTTTTTTCACCTTGTGTTGCTATCTGATACCGATTCTTCTTGATAATCTGCCTCATCAGAAATTTTTGCATGTGTTGGGAATCATCCTGAATCGGCATCATATAAGACGGGAAAATTTTGGAATGAAGCAATTTAGAAAAATATTTTATAACCATGTTACTAGACTTACGAGGGAAAATGAAATAACTACTTCAATATACTGGAAGTTTGACACTCGTTCACTTTCCTGCAGTGGTTATATTAAATCTACAATCTTCTTTTTTAGCATCCCTCTAGTTGCTCTATCACTCGAATATCTTAAAGTTTAGAATTATTTATTAGTATTATAGTAATTATTCTATGAGTACAAACTACTGCAGGTTTAAACGCATTTCTTTGTGACCTATTTTTACCAAACTTATTACACACAATTTTCTCTGTACATACAGCACTTCAAGGTCTTCTAATTAAAGTCTTAGAGCATTTTACATAAAATATAATGCATAGCTCAATGCATCCCCATGTACATGAAAAAAATATTTAAAGACATAATAAATACACCATATATACACATTACACAATTCGTCATAATCGTTTCAAAATATCAATTTCTCAACTGATATTTCAAATCTATATGCAATGAGCATTTTCGCCTTTTTGTGGTAGAAATGAAGAAATGTAAATCCATAAAAATTTCTCGAATGTACTCATTTCTGGGGAGACAAATATTTCACAGTTTAAAGTCATTGGGTTATTTTAAAACAGGAGCACATGAAAAATGAGCAGTCTCCTCCCTGGACTCGAACCTGGACCTCTCGAAAAGGCTCCGAATGTGCTACCGTTACACCACGATGTCATGCAGAAAGGAGGGAGAAAATGCCTTATATACTACCCCCTTCAAACAGTGTTTGGGGATTAGGGGATCCAATCGCCATATCCCGGTGGTGAAGAATCATAAACCACCACCTTTTAGTTGGGGAGCCACTGTAGAAAAATTTAGGTATTTTTTAAAGCAGGAGGACATAAAAAGTGAGCAATATCCTCACCGGGATCGAACTTGGATCTCTCTAATACGCTTCGAGTGTGTACCGTTACATCACGAGTGTATACAGAAGGGAGGGAGAAAATACCTTATAACAGAAGATAAAATGCTTTCTTTAAATTCTTCACATCTTCATAGTATAAAAAATTTCAACATATCAATTAAGTGATCATTTATATGAAGTACAACATTATAAACGCAATATAATGTTTGAAAATTAAACTCTGTTACATTCCGTATAGCGTAGTCGTTAGAATGTTCTTAATGGATTTTAATCCGCGTAGCGGTGTACTTTCGTCTGTAGTAGCATTCAAAACGAGTAAAAATAATTTGCTTTGTGTGTGCAGCTGTTTGCTCTATTTCAAAATTCATTTAAATCACCAATTTAAATCCAGTTTCCTATGTATTACAGTTTTGTGATGTGTCCACTGTGTTATCCATTAATTTAGCTCGTAATTATTCGCTAATTGTGAATGTGATGCTAGAAGAGACAGCGCCGACTAAAATTGTCAGGTATAGATTTACAGGCCATACTTTATAGGGCATTACATGTCTTTTCCTTCCTATTTGGTTTGCAGGCAGATTTTATCTTGTATTGCCGAAATATAGGTAGGTTCAAAATAATGTATTGTACTTTTAGTAAATTGTAATTGATATAGACATGTTTGCTAATTTGCTTGTTAATATAGGCATGTCTGCTAAACTGTAATCAATATAGGCATGTGTGCTAACTTGCAATTAAAATAAGCGTGTGTGCATGTGGACAGGAAATTTTATTAATGTAGGAATTTGAAATTTCAACCCGTCTAGGTTTAAATTAAAATTGCTGATATTTTCCTGTATCTGATAAATTTATTATTTGCTTTTGTGTGTCTGGTGTCATTAATGCTGCATTTACTTACAAATTTCAGTGTCTCTGCATATTCTGTTTAGCTTGTAAATTTAAGTAAATTTTAAATACGCTTTCTTTTATCCACAATATTTAAGTTCAATAAAACGTATATCTGAGGCATCATTCAGAAAAATGTAAGGGTTATTCCATGTAGATCAAATAATGCATAGACTAGAAGAGAAACACGCTAATGTGACAATCAAAATCGTAAAAACAACCTTGTATTTAGTGTAAGTATATACTTACGCTAAATACAAGGTTGTTTTTACGATTTTGAAAATAATGCATCTTCATGAACTTTTGCTTTTCTCAGATTCAAAAAATCCTTAATTAATAGTTAATTTATTTTTCCAAGATTCGAGGATCCATTTTGGAAACTCTCGAGATTTTAAGAAAAAGTAGCAGTGTGAAAAAACCTTGGTCAGCAAGGATAAAATATGTATAGATAAAAATATGAAAATAGAGTCTAAAATATTGTATTATTCCATGCATTAATCTTTTACTGTTATTATTATTATTATTATAAGGGTACAGCCCACATCATCCTAGTCGGCACAAGTCGGCCGTCTTTTACTGATATATATGTATATAATAAACGCCAATTATTCTGAAACTGAAGAGGGTTTTAAATCATAAAGACATATAAACGCACAAACTATTTGTTGATTTATCTTCTCAAGAGGTTATTATTGGCATAACAGTTAACGAAACGAGAAACTTATTAGCCCAAAAGGAGCTGTTAGTCCCGATTTGAGATTTGGCATTGCTTCAGTATAACCAGCGTATCACCTTTCATACTGTTACCACAAAATATTGTTGCCCTGTATTATTTTTAAATAAATTAAATAACGAAAAATCTGCATGTAAGTGTGTATGTATGTATGTATGTATGCAAGTTCCTCGCATTATCAAACAACTATGATAATCTACAATTGAGACATCAGATTTTGAAAATCCCAATCGCTACCTAAATACGTGAATATGGAAGCCCGAATATTAAATTTCATTTATTTCATTTTTTGTAAAATTTGAATGAATGTTTGATTAACAAACTAAAATTGAAAGTTACCAGTCGTAACTCTCTTCCAAATAAAACATTTTTTTTTCCTTCAGCTAGCGAGATTGTTGTCATTCGGAAAAAATGTAAAATATTTATATTTCAATTTTAATGACCAAGCTCGGTTATATGGAAACATTGTGTCGCCGGGACACGAAATAAAATACTTTATCTTTCACGCGTCAGCGTGTCGCCATTAATTAAAGGCCTAAGAAACTTTCTAATTTAAACTGGAAAGCTACTGAAGTAAGCGATTTGAATGCAGTAAACCCAGGTTTTAAGAGCATATTTTCCTGCTTTATAATGCAATTGATTTAAATTAACACCTATTAAAATCTCGAGGTATCAATATTTTTATCTGATGACACTAGCTGGACTCATTGAAATCATTATATATGTTTTCTTTTTTATGACAACTATTTTAGGCGGCAGCCTGCACGAGCGGCTAATTTTTAAAGAAATAATGTAGCACACATAACAATATGTATGGAAACATCTAACACACCGTACAGTATGATTCTAAAAATGTGTCGCTTTTAAATATTTTGAAATCTGGCTGTTGAGGTTCAATTTATGTTACGTAAGTGCGAAGAACATTATATTTAATAAACAGAGTTAACACACAAAAAATTAATTATAAAATATGGAAAACGTTTAAGCTATATTACTAAGAAAACTGAACATTAATATGTTTACCTGAGAAAAGGTCTCCCCCTCCCAATAGATACCAACACTAAACACTGCATCGGGAAGTCTAAGCATATGCTGATACGTAGCTTTTAAAAGTTTTATGATTTTGTTGTTGAACTGTATGTGCAGAAAAAAAAAAAAAAAAGAAAATTATGCTTAGTAATAAAGCTAAAAAGATAAAAGGGAAAAAAAAATGTGAGTTATCAGGTGTAAGTGCAAGACGTCCTGCGAGAGGTATCAGGGTATCCTGCGAGCTGGTAGACTGCGAGCTAAATGAATGCGTAAAAACTTAAACATTTTTGGGCGACAGATAAATCTAAAAATTTTCAGATTAGTATTTTTTTATATCTTGTGTTGATGCCAGTCTATGAATTTTTTAATATTTACAGATTTCATAGCTATACGTAATACATTTCATCTACGCATTTTTCCTCTAAAGTTGCCATTTTTAAACTGGAATGTACCTCAAAAATGAAGCCTTATGATCGTGATAGAACCCTGGAGATGTGCAAATACTATAATTTCGATAGATGTGAAATATGAAAACTGTAGCTGTGCGAAATTCAATTCACCGTTGAAAAATAGCTTCTTCGCTGCATTCTGTAACAGAAGATAGACCGAATCACATTTATTTTAACGTCTTAGTATTTATATTTTTTTCAGCAATTATTGACCTTCCTACATGTTATTTCTTTTCTTGAAACTCGATCAAAACGCATCCCATGAAAAACGCTGATCTTAGATATCTGAATCTAAGGATTTATTTCCAAATGTTTCAGTATTCTTCTGATATTTCATTTTAAATAATTGAGTTATTTTCATACAAAGTGACTGCTTTTTTATTTCACCAATTTGTTTTTACACATTTGCTCTCATGTTTTCCGCTAATCTGACAAACATAACTTGTCAGAGTACGTGAAGTAATAAGTTTCTGATTCTCGAGTTTTAGCAAGAATTTTTCTCTAGAATCGGAAATACTGAAATGCAATTCTCGAGGAACCCGACTTCTCGAAAAATCCGACTTGAGATTTTCCTGTTACTTTTTATATGTCTTGAAACGGAATTCCCGAGCATAATCGCTACCTGCAAAATCTCAATAAAGGGTTTGCTAAAAAAAATAGAAATATACATATCTCGGTATCGTTTACATATATTTTATATTAAATGTTAAGAAATTTTTAAACTAGTTTTAAATTATACAAATATGAAATAAATCATAATGATTTTATGAATTTGAAATGCAGCAGGTGAAGACTCAGTATTTGAAAACTACAGTTAACACATTTAAGTTCGTGGATTTGGCGTGTGACGTTTTAAAAGGTTAGATATTGTTTCTATTACAAACTTAATTTAAAGAAATTGGTAATTTGGTATTAAGAATCAAAAATTCGGGACGTACAATCAGAGCCGTGCCAAGATATTTTTTCACCTGAGGCAAAAGGAGAAATCCCCGCCCCTATATGTATATAAATACTTATATTTGTATTAAACAAAAGTAAATGTATTAAATCAAAATATCATAATTCTTATTACATAATTATACCATCATTCTTAACGCATTTTTAATCGTAACTTTTTAACTGCAGAAAAATATTATAGCCAATTATATAACTTTTAAATGAAAATACTAAAAAAAATTATTTTTTCATAAACAAGAAATAACATCGAAATGCACATTGCATTAATTTCCAGGTTTTCTTGCAGTTCTTCCTATTGTTTTATTAAGGTTAAGTTTAACATAGCTTATTTCCCCTAATAATAATTGGCAAATTTAAAAATATAATTAAAGTAATTTTCGAATTCGTATATCCAATTTGGAGCCCCTTCTAGTGATTCACCTGAGGCAAGTGCCTCACTTGCCTCGCCCTTGTCCCGACTCTGCGTACAATAATATATTGTTTAAACACATACTGGCGGAAACGGCTGCTACCTATTATGTGAAATAACTGAAACGAATTTGTAGTGATTAGAAAAATGAGTGTATTTTAAAACATTTTTATTTATATAGACTATTCTGCATACAGCACTTCATCGCAAATAGTAATCTTCACTCATGTTTGATTTGTCTGAATTAACAGTCAAACATGAAATTCGAAAATGTAGTGCTGAAAGAGAGGAATCACGTATTAGTATGAGAGTAAACGATTTAGAACCTAAAACGCTTGCTTTTGGTGTATAAGAACATTTTAGATGATATTAATTAACTATTATCTAATGATATTTTTAATAAATTGCAGAAACGACTACGGCAGGAATGGTTGCTACAAGGAAATTTTCAACGAAATGAAGGCTCTGGAAAACCAAAAACCACAAATGCGAGCCAAGATAGGATGATTGTTCGCCAGACCCAAACCACCCCAACGGTATCATTGTCGACTAATGAACGCACTAGAACCACGTCTATACCTCCCGTGGTACCATTCACCACCTCACGGCGCTTGTCTGAGGCGGGGTATGCTCCCAGAGGTTTTGAAGACGCTTGCCTTCGACCTCACAACATCGGCAGAGTTGTCTGAAGTGGGTTCGCAGCCGATCAGAATGGCTGCCATCAGACTGGCATCCTATAGTGTTCAGCGACGAATCCCGCTTCACTCTTTAAGCAGATGACCACCGTCTCGTGTCTGGAGAGAACGGGACCAATCAGCCTTTGTTTCACAAAGGTATACAACCATAAACCCTGGTGTGATGGTATGGGGCGCTAGTTCTTATGACAGCAGGTCATCTTTAGTCATGCTCCGTATATCTTTAACAGCTCAATGATATGTTGATACCATGCTGCGACCGGTTGCATTACCCTTCTTGGCACGTCATCCTGGGGCCATTTTCCAACAAGATAATGCCAGGGCAAATACCGCTCCCATATCTATGGACTGTCTCCGTGCGGTTGATGCTCTTCCTTGGCCAGCAAGGTCACCAGACCTTTCACCAATCGAGCATGTCTGGGGCATGATGGGCCGCCAGATTCGGGCACCATAAAATTTCTTAGATCTGGAGCAACAACTGATGAATGCCTGGCAGAATATGTCGCAGGATTACATTAGGAACCTCTGTCACTCCTTGCCTCAATGAATTCAAGCATGAATTGCCACCACTGGTGGTTCGATCAACTACAAATTGGAACACTCAATGGGTAATTGTGAGCCGTGAACAGATACCATGTCCTTGATGTTTTAATCATTTTATTATCTGTGTATGAGCTATACGCATATTCAGTTTTATAAAAAACAACCACTTCCTTCATGGTGCTCCATTTTTTGCAAAAGTATGTATTTAAATCGCGTTACGTTACCCGAATCCTTAAACTAGCTCTGTGTCAGGTACTATAATCATTTCGAGTCACTGAACTTGAAACTAGTATATTCCTATAACGTATATGTGTCCATGATTCAGAAATTACTTAAGTTAAATATAAGTAATTTGCATATTACCTAGCTCGTAAAGCAATTTATCTTTTCAGTTTTGTCAATGCTCATGATAAAGACTGCTCTTCTAATGAAGCTATTGAAAAGAATCATTTGATTACAAACATTTGATTTCTTTTCGAGGATCTAGTTCATGTGTTCATTGAGATAGACGAAATACTTCAATATGCATAATAATAAAATGCTATGATTTACTTCCATTGTTATTAATAGCGTTTTACTCTCAGTATAAATGATAAGGACTTTTCATCTTTCGAAATTTATTAACGAAAATTTTAAGGGTAATTCATTTCGTCATTTAAGAAAAATGATTTCCATGATAATGTTTTCACACCTTTCGATGACAAAAATGTAATCAGTATCTTTATTCCCTTGCACGAAGTAATGAAGTATTGTAATCTCTGATATCATATTTTAACGAAAATATCCATTTTGACTGCTATCGAATGCAACTTAACAATGTTTTTTCAGGACATCTGTACGTAAAAACATAACAAAGGACTCTTTATTCGCAATATATATATATGTATATGTAACTGATTTAAGATGAATTCTGATGACGAAATGATTTTAAAATGATTTTTTCATGGTGTCTGTGAGTACGTGCGGTAAGTACTATGACCTTCATTTTTTAATCATTTTATTATCTGTGTATGAGTTATACACATATTCAATTTCATCGAAAACAACCACTTCCTTGCGAGATATCTCGCATAACTCCAGAACAAGTAGTCTCAGAACGTCGATATTTTGTATATAGGACTGGTATAACATGTAGATGTGCACCCCCCATTTTGGTTGCAATAGACCGCACCAAAAGTATATAAATATATGTACATATATATCTACTCTGTTACTCGGCTTAGTGAACGCAGTACATGTTTGTAAATTGTACACTTTTCCTCTAATAATTGAATTATATTGTCCTTATCTTCCGGTTAAGGTTGTTTTACTTCTAGTTAACCTGTATGCAATAATTGTGGAATTATCAACAATTTAAAAGTTTTTTAAGTTCGGCTAAGCCTAGTTTTTGTTTATCAAAGCAGCAATATTTGTTTACATTTGAAACTCAGCAGAATAGTGGATTTGTTGCCAATCTAGGGAAATTAAGCCTCGCAACAACAAATTAATGTCTGCTTTTATTATTACGAATTAAATTATGCTTAATTCATTCTGGAATTATCATTTAAATTACTAGCTTATTTTTGCTGAGAAACTGTAATTTTAATTGCAAAAATTGTTTTTCTAATCGTTTTATCTCTACTTAGCGTTTTATGTTTTTCTCTACCGTTTAATTTTTAATGAAAATATTTTGAATTTTTATGTATTTTTGCTTTGCCGCGAAGTGAGAACGGAATTAATTAGTAGCATATGCGCATTAGGTAAGCGGGCTTGAATCGCCTGTGAAAACCTGTTTCTCTTTTATTTGTTATTTTCTTTTATGCATCCTTTTAGATTTATTATTGTGTTTGAATATAATATGTGGCAATTCTTCAGATGATATAATTTTTGTGCACTCTGAGTTATAAAATGAATGAGATTTAACGCTGTTAAGTGAACCTAGTGCCAAAGTATCGCTATGGTAAATAAATATAGTAAACTTTAAAGAGTGCATTTATTCTATTGTGATTTATACGCTATCTCCGAAGTAGATTTAATTCAAAATGTGTTAACTCTAAATTTATTATGTATAAATGAAATGTAGGGAAGTAACGTATAATTTGGAATTTCGTACAAGGAAATCATGTGGTAAACATATTATATTTTTTACAAAATGGATTGTGAGTTAAATTGAAAATAAATTTAAAACGGGACTTTTTCATGGCGTCTGGACGTATGTATGCAGCTCCAAAACTCAAAAAAGATTAACCGTGGAACATTGAAATTTTGTATATGGGACTGATATAACGTCTAGTAGAGCACCGCCAATTTTTATTGCAAGCGACAATAGAGTATATATCTAAACGTATATATACTCTATTGTAGAGTCATTAGGTTATTTGTAAGCAGGAAAGATGAAAAATGAGCAACCGCCTTGGCTGGCAATCGAACCACGGGCCTCTGGAATACCGGTTCAGCGTGCAGAACCACTACACCACGAAGGCACGCCAGTAAGGTGGGAGAAATACCTTATATATGTATATAGAGATATGTATATGCCCCTTTCTCGGCCTTAATTTAAGCAGTCGTTAATCAGTTATATACTTCCAATTAAATGATGAAATGTTTTAAATTCCTGTTCTTTCAAAGTCAAACTTAAAAAAAAAAAAAAAAAAAAAAAAAAAAATCCGACAAGCAACAAAATCTAGATTTATTCTTTAAATGTCATCCGATTATATTTCACTTTTGTATAATTTTCAGCAAAATTGATTCGTTAGCTAAAATACTCAAAATTTATTCATATTTAATTAGCAACCATCAATGATTCTCCTTTAAAATATATTTGTGGTTTCAGGCGCTTTTTTTTTTACTTCCGAACTTACTTTTTACGAAGTAAAGGAAGGACCGTAATCACGAAAAAAATCCGGGTGTCATAGTTAACGAAAATATCCATTTTGACCGGTATCGAATGCAATTTAACAGTGTTTCTGTGTGACATCTGTACGTAAGGACAGAAAAAAGAACTCTGTTTCTAAAAACGAATTAAAAAACTGATTTAAAATGGATTCAGGAGCGAATTTTTTCGTGGCGTCTGTACCTACTTACGCATGTATGAGTGTATCTCGCATAGCTCAAAAAAGAGTAGCATCAGAATGTTGAAATTTTGCATAAAAAACTGCTATAACATGCAGTTGTGTATCTCCCTCTTTGGTTGCATTCGTACTCACCAGAATTATATAAATAAAGATATACATATACCCACTCTGATACTCGGCTGAGTGATCTCAGAATGTTTTATTCTTATAAGTTGATAAATTGAGCGTTTTTTGCTCTAAAAGGATTGAATTATGTTGTTCTTATCTTCCGGTTAAGGTTTTCATGCCTTTAGTTAATTTGTATGCAATAGTTGTAGAATTATTAACAATTTAAAAGTTGTTTAACCCGCGAAGACGCGCGCTACTTTTAGCTACGCGAGGACGCGCGTCGGGCTCCGTAGGCCCGAATCGTTTTTCTTAACAAATAAATAAATAAATAAATAAATAAAATTGCTTGTGTAATTGAAAAAAAACAGAGTGTATAAAATATAGAAATTTACTTTTAATTTAGTAAGTCTAATAACATTGTATTTTAAAACAATTTTAAGACGGAAATTATTTATCATTGGCAATAAAAGTTAAACTGATTTCTTTTTGAGTACAAATCAAATTTAGTACTAATTTATGCAATATTAAATTTTTACAGCAATAATTTCAAAATAAAACTTACATTTCACATTTCTTTGCAAATAATAGTGCTGTGTTTACCGAAAACATTTTTCTCGCACATAGCGTAGCAAATTTGTGATTTTCGGTCCGTTACGCCAAGACTGTAAATATTTTTTGCAATTTTCAACGAACTTTTTAAAGGCATATCTTATCGGAGCCAGTTTATTTATTTCCCTTCTAGAAAAGCGATCTCTTATGTCATCAAATATCAAATATCTCATTAAAAATTTAAAAAAAAACATTTGTTAGATATTGTTCGATGAAAAATGTCAAGCACTGTTCCGTCAGTCACCCAAAGGTCGAGAACATTTATGTGAGAATCCTTGGGGAGTCATTCAAAATAAAGAAGAACGATAAATGCTCTGATTTCTGTATTATTTATGGATCGAGCATCTCTCTCTCTTTCAAATTTGACGGCGATGGATTCGATATAAATGTTTGCACAATCTACTACAATTTTTACTATTATTTTATCCATAAGCAGTTGCCAAGAATTCATAGGGGAGGGCCCAAATTTTGCTTCACAAACATTTCCGAGCAATTTTCTCACAATGTTGTGAGCAAGAGTTCTCACAGCAAGTCTTGGTTCTTTTTTATTCCATTTTGTCACATTATGTTTGCCCAAGATAACAATTCGCTGACGGACACAAAATTACTTAAATCATTACTAGATTTATCGCTTGAGTCTACCCTGTTCAGAATTCGATTGATGATCACTAAACTCTTCTTCACCAACTATTTCTTCATCCTCTTCATTAATTGTATCTTCATCAGTCTACACTTTGGCTAATAGTTTCTGTAGTCTTTTCATTTCATCGTCATAGCTCAAATAGGAAGACCTTTTTGCAACTGCCTGATTTCTTTCACAATTTTAAATGACAACGCGAGCGCGCGCCGCGGGTGTGGGAAGCCCGCCCTGCTAAAAATGCCCCGTAGAAAACCAATAAAATTTTTTTACGGGGAATTGACCTACGGGTACCCGTACAGCTCTGCGGGTACCCGTAGGCCAAATCCCCGTAAAAAACCCACAGACAGAAACCCGTACAACTGTACGGGTACCCGTAGGCCAATACTCAAATTTATTACTCAATTTAAAGTCAATATAAACCTATACAAACCAGTACAAAGTTCTGCCATTGAAAATGTTGGTTGTATGGTGTGGGTGTCAAGTGATACCAGTAAGAAGTACCCCACAGAGATCAATAGAAACCAGTAAATTTCAGTAGAGACCATCAAAAATTCTATAGGTACCAGTAGAAAGTTTTTATATATTCAAATGGCAAACCCACAGAGATCAATAGAAACCAGTAAAAGTCAGTGACCATCAAAAATTCTATAGGTACCAGTAGAAAGTTTTTATATATTCAAATGGCAAAGCATCTACATGAACAAGCTTTAAAAAAGTATTTCTAAACTGTAATCAAAAAATTAAATTTTCCAAAATACAGTTTCA